TAAGTCTGAGTGAACATCATATAGTCATTGGAGCAACATAAATTACTTTGATAATTCAAGCACACACATGCTGAATCCACACTGACAAAGAGTCACTCAGTAACATGTGTGAAACACACCCTGCTGAAGTGACTCCCCAGCATACCATAGGGTGAAAAGACGGCAAGAGACTTTGCCAACTGTGAGGCTGACATACACACGCACTATATACAAAAACACATTTAAACCTCTTCAAGAACTATTATTCGTCTTCTCTGAAACTGCTCTCTGTCTGGGCGCTGGAAGCATTTAAACCATATGTGTGTTTCCTTAAGAGTACAGGACTTCCATTCAACAGTTTGGGTTAAAGCTTTCCATGACCTGAATCTATCAGCAAGACAGAGGAGGTTTATTTAAGAATCAAAATGTTGCGTTGGGGATCTGAACACATCCTGCAGACTGTAATCTAGGTCATTAGAGAGTCTCTTTCATTCTCACATGCACAGACAGAAATGTGGGCAACACCCAGTTGAGGAGGTAAAACATTCATCCAAACATGTCTCGCACACACATGCAAAGAAAAAAAAATGAAAGGGAGAGAAAAAAGAAAGAAGTAGGAACACCCTTCACGCTTGCCAAAAGCTACTCAGCTTGTCTAGGTTACATCCAACTCAGAGGGAGGGAGAAAAAAAGAGTTACACCATGTCTGCACTGCAAGCGAAGAGTGTAACGGTGTTAGACAGATAAAATAAGAGAAAAATTATGTGGACTTCGGCCAACAGCCCTGCATCCTGGCATTGGTGTGTGTGTGTGTGTGTGAGCATATGAGCGTGTGAGGTTAGCGCTGTAATATGATCGTGTTGACACAACGCCACATCAGTGCTGAAGGAATGCTCTGGCTACCCATGCATCCCTGCTGCTAAGAGTCAGACCCTGAGGCTGTGTGTGTCTGTGTGCGTTTGAGACAGAGGGAGGGCAGCACGTGCTCTGTGTATTCTCAAAGGAGAAGGCTAATCAAATCATTCGTGCTATAGTTTAAATGAGTGTGATATTAACATCTTGGTGAGCTCTGATTTATTTCTATGTGGTGACTGATTTATGTGTTTGGAATAAGGGGGAGGGACACATCTCTGTACTTTTTGACTGAATTGCGATATACGGTATCTATCTAGTTTTTTATATATATATATATATATATATATATATGTAGATATTTAAAAGAATTACATCCTGCAAAATGTTGTCCAAAGAAACAATGTTTATATTAGTGAATTAGTGAACATTGTATCATTACAATCCAAAAACAAAAATAATGTCTTTTAAAGTTCAATTCACCACACTATTTTAGTTATCCCATAATAATAATCACTTTACACTTACTACTATTAAAATATATGTACTTGCATGTTAAAAACTCTACATATGGCACATTTATTGTATAATAACAAATGTTTTGGCAAAATATGTTTAGTCATAAATTTTATAGTTCTGTGCACCACCTGTTTGGCATACATGTTAGTTCAATTAAGATGGTCTTTTACCAGATTATGCATTTTCATTTAGCATGTTTTTTAATATGTCACTAAAAACTGCCTATCTATTGTACAAATGCTCTTTTTGTCTGAAAAAGTAACAAAAAAACCTATAAATCCATTTAAAAAATCTAAATAATGAAAATCACATTACGTGGATTTTTAAAGTCCATGTGATTCGGACAACCCAGGCTCATTCTGATTTCATACCCCTATATACATTTCTGGAGATTGCTAAATACGTCCCAGGAGCTACGTTGTCTTTTTGCAGTTTTTGTTTTACGAATCCACCAGAGGCCGCTGTGTATGCTTTTTTAGATCTCAAATTTCTCTTGTGAGTGCCATCCGTGCCTGCTGTTCTAACGTAAATCCACTAGAGGCTGCTGTCGACTGACTGACCAACCGACCGACCCACATTTACACCCTGTTATTTACTTTTTGGTTTAATTTTTTATCTTTTGTTTTGGAACCATTCTTCACCAAACTCGAACCCCGTTTTAGCGGTCAACTCCGCTCTGCTTCTTAAGTCCTTCGACGTATATATCAAGCTGTCGGACAAATTGGTAACTGTGGAAAAGACATTCAAGAAGAGGAATGGCGTCACACCACCCCATAGCATTTGTTTTAAAGATGAAATGAGCCATATGTAGCTCTGGCTGCATAAATCTCCAGAAATCTATATAGTTCTACCTTCGGATGCGGAAGGTTTTGGAGACTATTATTTCAATATGATGATTTCCTATTGAAACTGAATATTGAGTAGGGGTAGGGTTTTATTTTTGGGTTGCTTCTTTCACTCACATCAAACTAACCAACAATATTTCACGGCACTTTGTAACTTATTTTAGTGGCTAATTTGTATGAAATTGTACAATCTTATTTGTACAATTTTGTACGATTTGCTTATCTCCCAATGACGGTTGGGTTTAGGGGTGGGGTTGTGTGCCATGCCTGCTTTTAAAAATCTTGCATTTTCATACAACTGAATGTAAAATAGTTGGAGGGGCGTGGCTAAGAAAATTTTGCCGGTGACATCATCAGAGAGTGAAAACAAATGGTCAGATTTTAAAGAAAGATGACCAAAAACAAACTTTTTTTCATAGGATTAACTTGCAGGGATTAATTGTTTACCTTAAGACCAACAATGTGCATCATAAACTTTGATTTCACTGACTTTAAAGTGTAAAATGTAACAGCTTTTAGCAAAGGCAAATCATAAATATAGAAACAATTTAAGTATTGGGTTATAAAGTAAAAACAAAACAGCATTTGTCTGAAATCTAATTTTCTATAGCATTATAAATGATTATTATAAATATAATATTCATTCATTCAATTTCCTTCTGATTAGTTCCTTTATTCATCAGGGATCACCACAGTGCCATGAACCACCAACTTATCCAGCATATGTTTTACACAGTGGAAGCCATTCCAGATGCAGCTCAGTTCTGGGAAACACCGATACACTCTCACATTCACACTCATATACTATGGCCAATTTAGGTTTTTCAATTCACCTATACCGCATGTCTTTGGACTGTGGTGGAAATCAGAGCACCTGGGGGAAACCCATGTGAACACAGGGAGAACATGCAAGCTCCACACAGAAATGCCAACTGAACCAGTCGGAACTCGAATCATCAATTGCTTTGAAGCAAAAATGCTAACCATTGAGCCACTGTGCCACCCTAATTATAATATATGAATATATTATTATAATACATCATTGTTACTTTACTACTGTTTTATTTAATTGTTTTACCCTTGCTCAATACTTATTAAAAGTATTAATTGTGTTAATCGGAACAATGAGGAGTGTTACTCAACAACTACACAAGAACCTACTTATATAAAAGTACCTTCGATCAGATTGTGCAGCACACACCATAATTTGCTGACAGTACAGTTCTCACCACATACAGTATCTAATGTGCATCTGCAGTTTATGTTGTGGGTGTCTGAATGAGGTGAGTCACTCCAGAGTGTGATTGAAGGTTTGACAGGAAGATGATCAGTACAGGATGTGCTGTGTGTGTCCCTCCCAAACCACAGCATTCTGAAACGGCCCTTTTAGTTGAAGTTTTAGATGATTACAAGCAGCCCGCAGACTCCTCACAAGTCTCTTGAAGTAAATCCTCACCGTGCCCAGACACAAATGACTGGAACGGACTGATGAGAACCACAGGCGGTAAACGATTGCGTGGGTTTTCCTTTGTGCCTGCTGTAGATGGAGGGATCAATGCGTGGCGGTATGCCAGACACTCTTAAACTGGCACAGTGATCTCAGGGGGAATACCCACAAGCACACACACATACATACTCCTGCCCCCCGGCACCAGGAACAGATGCCACAGCCAGCGCAGTGAACCCATCACTTGATAATGAAGCAAGAAATAATCCCACTAACACACACATACCACGTACAACAGCGCCGCTCTCTTACACAACAACAATAGCCTCACACACACAAATTGTCTCCAGACTTGCACTACGCAGACACCACAGCTCAATTCTCCTGTGCAGCAGTAATTGCGCATTCATGAGGACAAATATTCACACTCTGTGTCTAACTATTAACTTATTGTGCTTTCATCTTGTACAATTCATCTCCTTGTAAGGGAATCAAGCTGTAACAGCTCCCTGCCCTTACAGCACGCACACGCACTCACAAAGAGAGAGGGAAAGAGCTTGAGTGTTTTGATGAGTGAAAGGAACGGTGTATTTGTGTGACCTTACTGACATTAGTTTCTTTAGAGATTCAAAGTGTATTTGGGCTCAGTTTAACAAACTATTAACAAATTGAGGAAATGAGAAATTAATTTAAACATAAATCTAAAAGTTGAATATGGATTTAATTTTTTTTTAGAAATGTATAGAATTTAGTAAATAAAAATATTTAAAAGATTCATTTACAATACAATGCAAAATTAAACAAAAAAATATTAAAATGTTCTAAAGAGACCAGATTAAATAAACATTTGATAAATAATGAAAATAAAATATGAATATATAAACAATAACATGATTTTCTGACTTAAAAACATTTATTTGCAGGACCCTTTAATACAACTCACCAGTAAATGAACTTTAATTGAAATGTGACAAAGATACTATCGTGTTTTTTAATATTATGAAAAATGAAATATATAGCATTTTAATTATTCATTATTTTATTTATAAATAATAAAAACAGACATCATGACCTTTAAACAAACTACTTTAAAAAAAATAATCACACATTGTGACTTCAGGATGTAATGCACTGACCTCACCTTGTGCATTTTTTATAGCACATATGCCAATTTCATCTGTAAAACTTGCAGTGAAATGCAGTAATCTGTGTGTACCCTTGTGGCTGAACCCTTAAAAGATCATACGAGTATAGTTGCTCAGTGTTGGCACGGTGCCATGTCTGTCTGCCTCAGGAGGCTGCTGGCGTGTAACTCATTCTGATATTCGTCTGAGTAATGTTTTATTATTCTTGCTTACCTTTACCACACGAGTTGACTAAATCAGAGATGTGATGTTTATATCTGAAGCGCAATCAGTCGTGTCGCTCTCTGTTTTCCCTCTCGTTCCGCTCCTGTGGTCCCGCTGGCTTCATCAATAACTACTTATCCACGATCCATCAGCGCGAGCCTCGCCGACTTGCAGAAATCGATAGGGTTTCGACGGGGAAAGTATCATCCAAAGACGAGCAGTCAGTCAGTCACAGTGTGAACAAAGCCGCTGTGATGTGACGGAATCTCGGCTGCGTGTCCGCGCAGGTCGCGTCGCTTTGTGCCTCAGTGACCTCACCGGCAGACGGTGCAACGTCGCAGCGTTTCCTTTCAACGGGAGTCGTTAACGTCAATGGACACGAGCAGCGTCGCCCCATTCCTTGAAACAAACAGAAAACAGCTTTTTGCTCCGGATCAGTCTCGTCCCAGCAGCAGTGCCTCCTCGGCGGTTTGCGTGTGTGTTTGTGTGCGCGTCTGGTTTTGGTCAGAGCAGAAGAGCTGCGTTTAACTTGCACCGGGAGCGCGCAGGAGAAGTGGAGCGGGCGGGCACGAGGCCAATCATCTGTTAGACATTTCCCTTTTCAGGAGCGCTTTTCTCTGGTCTTCCCTATAGAAGAGGTGGAGTGAGTGGGTTTTGGCTCTCTGGCTGCAGTTCAGGTCCCGCCATAACCCCCTGTTCTGTCACGCGCACCTATAACGTTACAGTAAAGACCCATAGACTTGTGTTTTTCTTTTGCTAAACGCACCCGTTAGAAACTCAATGTGGGTGGCATGTGGGATTCTTGCATTTAATTTAATGTTATTTATAAATGATGCACTGTATTATTTTAGTTATTTATTTGTACTTTTATTTAATAATGTATTATTAAATAACTAACTGATATTAATTACAAGTCTGTTTAGCAAGTTTTACTATATATTTGCTTGCTGTATGTCTAGTTTTTATTATTTTTAACAGTTTTGAGGACAATTTCAGATATCATTAGTATAGTGAAACAAATGCTGAACAATTAGCATAACAACCCCAAAACTAAAACCAACCCACAAAATGACCTAAACAGGCTCAACTCAGCGTTTTTAGTGTGTAGTTTAGACACGTGAGATTACAAGTGACACAATGTAATTTAATTATTGTTGTTATCCTATTAAAATGTATATTTATATTTGTATGTGCATCTTTTATTGTGATATAAAAACACTTACTGTTTTAAAAAAAGTTTAGAATTCAACTAAATATTTAGTTAATTTTATGGTACATTTTATTTGGCAGATTTTCTGAATATATTTTTTAGCTTCACCTTATTTTTAAGGACATTTTTAGCAACGCATCCTCACAAGAACAAGCGTGCACAGACACACACAGAGACAAAGGCTTTTTTCTTGCTCAGTTTTCCTCTGACTTCAGGTTCCAAAAAACACACCCTGTTTCTAGTTAAAAGCAGACATTCACTTCTGTGCCAGAGTCCGTCATTTATTTTCTTGTGTGAAAAGCAGCCCTGTGTTGAAATAGTTTTCCAGGTGACTGGGGGCTTCACAGAGAAACTGCATCTTTGAAATAAATGGAAACCATGCATTGTGGTCTGCTGTACCAGCACTTTAAAACTCTTTTTCTCTGTCTCTTTACTATTTAGGAAATGGAAATTGACTAAGTAAGCATTTACATTTTGTTGTTTTGTTTGTTTCATTCTATTTAGTTTAAAAAAATAACCATTACTAAACCTTTAAGTTTTTTTGGACCATTTTACACGTACACATTCTTTATATTGCTTGTTTTTTAATATACAGTTGAAGTCAGAATTATTAGTCCCCCTGAATTATTCGCCTTCCTGTTTATTTTTTCCCCCAATTTCTGTTTAACGAAATGAAGATTTTTGAAACACATTTCTAAACATACAAGTTGTAATAACTCATTTGTAATAACTGATTTATTTTATCTTTGTCATATTAACAGTAAATAATATTTTACTACATATTTTTCAAGACGCTTCTGTACAGCTTAAAGTGACATTTAAAGGCTTAACTAGGTTAATTAGGTTAATTAGGCAGTTTAGGGTAATTAGGCAAGATATTGTATAACGATGGTTTGTTCTGTAGACTATGGAAAAAAAATAGCTTAAAGGGGCTAAAAATGTTAACCTTAAAATGGTGTTTAAAAACTTAAAAACTGCTTTTATTCTAGCCGAAATAAAACAAAAAAAACTTTTTCTAGTAGAAAAAACATTATCAGACATACTGTGAAAATTTCCTTGCTCTGTTAAACAGCATTTGAAAAATATTTAAAAAAGAAAAAAAATTTAAAGGGGGGCTAATAATTCTGACTTCAACAGTATGGTTGGATTTATTTCGGTGTTTGTGCCCTATGTTTTTTTTCTTTTACATCTGACATAAATGTATAAGCATTCTTTTCTTTTGTCATTTCACCTGCACTGTATTGGAGAACTTTTAGTTAAAAATCCCCTCGGGACTCGTTAATTTAATGTGCAGTCATTTGGCCTATTATAAGACAGAAAATAAAGAATTTAATTACCTGATAAATAGTAAAAATATATTTGACAAAAAATATACTAACAAAGACATAAGGCAATTATTTAATGATAAAATAGAGTTATTCCAAGAGGGAAACTTTATTGGAATTCTTTATGGGAGGTTAATTGGAGAAAAGCATGGATGCTACCATACAAATTTTGTATTTCAAATAAAGAGTGTGTGTTACAACAATGTGTTACTTTCCAAGTTTTCAGATATTGACAATGTTCATTTTATAAAAACAGTTTGGAATCCTTTTGTCACTTATTTGTTGATTGTCAGAGTGTGCAATTATTTTGGAAAGATTAATATTATTCAGCTAAAAATAGTATGTTGGTAACATTGAATGCAAAAGAAATGATTTGTTATTTTAAAAATGGTGACAAATTAACATTTTAATTATTTTAAATAGTAAATTCTTTATCCACAAATGTAACTTTCAAAATCTCCTTTATACAAGGTATTTGTCAACAAACTTATTCTGTTATTAAAGTCTCTCAAAGCTGTAAAAAACGTAAAATCTCTGTCTATTGTAAGCTATTATGAATCTAATCAGTTTTTGTGTCTTGTGAATGTCACATTTGTTTTTGTTTTGTTTGTTTTGTGTGTGTGTGTGTGTGTGTGTGTGTTTTGAATTTCAATTATCTTTGGAATTTTTGTTTGTTGCCTGTTTTGCTGTATTTGTAAATTACTAATGCAATAAAAACTTTTAGTTAAAATGACCGCTGACAATAGCGCCATCTATCGGCTACAAGTCAGTTCATGAAGAGTTTAGGTCAGTGTTTAACCCTGCTCTTATTTCACTAGAAACCACATTTAGATTCAGGAATGGTTTTTAGACACATACACTTGTTCTGGTGTGCGTTCGTCCTCTAATAGCCATCTTGATCTGACAACATGTTTCAGTTTCTGTTATTCTGGTTATTGAGGTCAAAAGAGTTCAGTTCTGCATCTTTCTTGATTCACTCCAGTCAAGCAGAGGGAATAAATATTGAGTTGCAGGAGCTGCTGTCCATGTTTAAGCACTGTGAAGAGAGCTCTTCCCTCAGGATAAAACTGAAAGTTTAATGGGCCCTTCAAACCCCACGCAGACACGCACTTGCTGGTGACATCTACATATTTATGAGCATCCAAAGTGCTTATACAAGGAGAGATGCATCAAAGTAGTATAGTAAATCTACATGTGAGGTAAAACAGTTGTCCTCTTTAAAAAAAAGAAGTTAAAACTGTGCTACAGAATTTTATTAGCAGATTGTACTGTAAATATAGGACCAGTGCAGTGTTTCCTTTTTTTCTTTCTGTTTAAACTACTCATACATAATGACAATAATATTTGTCTCATCAAATCGCCAAAAAAGATTTCTAAATGACGCTAAAAACTTGAAAATAAAATACATCTTAAAATATCTTATGTTTTCACTAAATGACTTTGCAGGCCAGGAGTGGCAATACTTGCAGCCTAACATTGCTTACCAAAATTGTTTTTGTTGCTAAAGAATTTTCAGATCTAATTGTTGCTGCAATTATACATTTTATTATATTGTATATGTCATTATTTATGTCATAGCAGTTTATCTGGTCCTAAAATGATGCATTATTACTCACACTCACTCTCTCACTTGCCTTCTTTTTTATTTGGGGTCATCTGATTCATTACTTTTACTCTCCAAAAATGATTTTGGCTGCTTGTTCAAACTGCTTGATTAAAATGAGATGAAACAGCACAGTTCTGGAGATTTATTTGGGAAATTTAATTGTTTTATGTTCATTCTACAAAAATTTGTTACGTTAACCTAATGGATTTGTTGTGGGACAACATGAATGAACTGTGTGGATCCCTGCATTTTCACAGCACATCAGCTCCTGGCTTTCAGGGTTTTCCCTCTTCAACCTAACCAACTAGTTCCCAGAGTGTGGATCAAGGTCGCTGGGTGATATCCAAAAATCAAAACACATTTATGAAACTATTAAAATTACCATATTTTATCTCGAACCTACAGAAGATAAAATAGTATTTAATAGGTTAATAAAAAACAGCAAATAAAGAGCCATCAACCTTTTAATTCATTTATTTTTTTTGGTTTGCAACCCCTGGGGTGTTTACGTTATATTAAAGACAGCAATAGCGTCAGTTGCAGCAGATTGACTTCATGGTAAACTTTGACACCTTAACAACACTCACTTACATTTAAAAAAAAAAGTTTTTTAAAAAGATTTTGAAAAAAATCATACACGACTGAACATGGAGGATAGTCTCCAAAATTAAACCAAGAACAGACTTGTGCAGTAAGCATTGTGCCTAACAGTCTCATTACATGACGTTATTGTTCAATTAAACTAACAAACAAAAAATGCTGTTAGACTGTTGCATTTTTTATGTTGTCAATATAACAGTTAAAGTCAGAATTATAAGCCCCCCTTTAAATTTTTATTTTGGCTAGAATAAAAGCAGTTTTTAATTTTTGAAAACAGTTTTAAGGTCAAAAGTATTAGCCCCTTTACGCTATATATATATTCTTGAAAGTCTACAGAACAAACCATTGTTATACAATAACTTGCCTAATTACCCTATCCGGCCTAGTTAACCTAATAACCCAGTTAAGCCTTTAAATATCACTTTAAGCTGTATAGAAGTGTCTTGAAAAACATCTAGTAAAATATTATATACTGTCATCATGGCAAAGATAAAATAAATCAGATATAAGAAATAAGTTATATAAACTTTTATGTTTAGAAATGTGTTGAAAAAAGTCTCTCCGTTAAATAGAAATTGGGGAAAAAATAAACAGGGGGGCTAATAATTCAGGAAATTAATAATTCTGACTTCAACTGTATGTGTTTATATGGGCCCATTGGTGTGTGTGCACCGTTGTGTGCAATGTTTGTATGTTACTAATCACCTCTGCAGATAGGGGGTTGCGAGTCACTGGAATAGTTTTTCTGGGGATTGTGGAATAAAAAGTTTGAGACCCCCTGAACTAAAGAATGTCTCTCACATCGTGTGTGTCTTACATCATAGACAGTATAATTAAGCCTAAAAACTCAAATGAAATCCTGATTGTCACATGACAGTCTTACATTTTGTGCTAAAATAAAAGCAAGGAGACAGAAATGTTTCTTCTCAAAACAGAATCACGTACAAATGCGTCATTTTAATGTATTATTGTGTAAGACTTCATTTACAAATCAAAATTACAGCGGTTGTACAGAAGTATGAACACACAAGGTGACACGACAACATCGCTGCAACGTTTTAAAAACATCATAAAAACGTTCTCCAGAGTAAAAGTAAGGCACCGACTGAAT